AGCCGGAGAAGCCTACGGGCTGGCAGGGCTGCTGAGAGACATTTGCAAGCACCCATCTTCCTCCCCCCTCCCGCCCGACTGGCCCCCAGGGAATGGCAGTCAGCAGAGATTCCTGCCACCCTGTCCCACTGCCTCCTGGTGCCCTGGCGCTCAGTGGGGAGCTGCAGGGGTGGACCTGGAGGGGAGGTCTGTCCACACGTCTTGGGGGCCAAGAGGCCTGAGGCCTGCAGAGCCTCCCAGTGGTGAGAGGTGGTACTCGCAATCTCGGGAGTTGAAAGGAAAGGAAGGACCCAGTTGGCCGGAAGGGGCTCATTCTGAGAGGAAGTAAGCTTACCACAGGCTCTTGTTTTCCCAGAAATGATCTGTCGGCTATTGTCTGGGATCCAGAAGGCGTTTCCCTACTGAAACAGGGCCCCAGGCGGTCAGGTCAGAAGGCCGGAGGGCCCCAGGCGGTCAGGTCAGAAGGCTGGAGGCTGATCCCAAGGCAAACCTGGGGCATGTTTGTGACTTTTCTGAACACCATCCCCTGAGGGGCTTTGAGTGTCACAATGAACTCTGGGAGATGGTGTGGAGCCACCTGATTGGTCATTTTACCAGGGAGCGTGTTGGTGCCTCCACTCAGCAAATGAGAAGCTGGCCTTTCGACCCACAGACTCGTGCTGGTCTAGGTGCTGGTCTGGGTGGGCCGTGCTGGAGGCTCCCAGGACCTTTCTGCTGTGGCGTGCGTGCGGCCAGGACTCTGGCGGCCTCCTCTGTGCTTTAGCTCCTTTTGATCTCGTCACGTGGCATTTGCTTGGAGTGTTGAGGTGAGAAGGGTCTGACGCCTCAGCAGGGCTCAGAGGATGCTGGGAGCCCCGGGCTGGGCCTCAGCGTGGGTCCCCGCCCGCTGCTCCTGCTGCTGTGGGATGTCATGGTCGGCCTGAGGCAGGAGCCTCCCGCCAGGTCTCCAGGTTGTCGTGGAGAAGGTGCTGGTCCCAGTGAGGCCTGGTGTGGGCGGTCTGCATGCCCTGGTCAGCTACCATCTCTTCACAGCCCGGAGGCGTCCTAGAAACCACATTCTCGGTGGAAGAAGCGGGGCTTGGTTTGGTTCAGGAGCCTGAGCCAGAAGAAGGCGCCTCTGAGCAGTGTGACCAGCGGGTTGGCATGCTGCCCGCGTGGCCGGCACCCCCAGCAGCCGGGCCCCTGAATCCTGCCTTGCTGTGGTCGAATGGGCGGGCTTCCTGTCAGCCCTTCCCCTGGTCGGATATGCTAAGTGCGTCATTCCATCCATGTGGACTGGTGGGCATGCGGATGTGGCGCTGGCCCCACAGGCTAGGGGTCTGCCGTCTAGTGGGGTAGAAAGGCAGGTCTCACACTGTGTACACCTGAAACTAATCTAAAATAAGGTTGACTGTTAACTGTAATAGGAAAATAAAATAAGACATGTCCTGCGTGCTCGGCCCAGGGGCATACCAGGCCCCCTGGGCTTGTTTGCTGGTCTACGCGGGATTTGTGGGATTTTGTACGGCAGGCGTGGCCACCCCCAGTGAACTGGAGGAGAGGAAGCGGGGGTGGGGCAGCCTGTGTCTCAGGATGTTTCACTTTCTCACTTGGAGGGCTGGACAAGGCTCCTTAGCCCAGAGAAGTCACAGGCACCTGAAGGCCCAGCCTGCCCACAGGGGTGGGAGTGGGGAGGGGGGTCAGGGAGGCAGCTGCCCAGACGACCAGCCCCTGCTGGGGCCTGCGGCTCCCAACCCGCCATGTCACTGGGGAAGTGCCCGGACTGTGATCCAGGGTGCTGGTCTCCTCTTCCCCTTGAAGGGCCCCTGGGCAGGCGGGGCTGGGCCGGGAGGCGGAGCACAGCTCCCGGTGTCTGGTGTCCGCCCTTCTGTCCCGTCCCACTGTCTGAGTGGCTGGAGGCTGAGCCCCGCCCGCCAACCCAAGGCTTTGGCGGAGGAGCGGCGTCTCTGTCTCCCTAGTCGGGTGCAGCCCGGAAGCCAGCGGGACAGGACCACCTGCCGGTGAGTGAGCGGGGCTCCTCTCCACACCCGGCTGGGAGGCCACCAGCCCCCACGGTTCAGGGCACCCCTTTCCGGCTCGGAGCCTGAGGCCTGGGGGCCCAAGGAGCCCACCCCATAGTCTCCCCCAAGTAGTGGGCTTCCCGGCCCCGCATGGCAGTCGTGGGCCGGTCGGATGAGCTCACTTCCTCTGCATCCTCTGGCTTCTCGGAGCCTTAGGGCCGAGAAAAGGGAAGTGCCTCCAGCGTCGAGAGCTCACCTGGTCTCTTCTGTGCCCCCCAAAGGGCCTGGGGTGGGCGTGGGGGGTGGGGCTGCACTGTTCCTCAGCGGGACCTGGCCGGGTCAGTACTTGTCGCCCCCTCCCCGCCCCTCTCGGGGTGACGTGCTATCCTTTCCGAGCCTCGTTCCTGCTGGCGGGGGGCTGCCCGAGAGGAGGGCCTTTCCTTTGGGAGAGCCCTGTCCCCCCTCCCCGGCTGCCCCTGGGCCATCTCTGCTTCCGCTTCTCCAAGACGGCCCACCCACGTCACGGGGAGAGCCATGGCTCCGCTCCTTCCTTGTAAAGCTTTGCCTGTTTCTAGCCCTGGAACAGGAGGAAGGGCTGGTGCCTCACCGGGACACAGCTGCCTGGTGGCCAGGCCCAGGGGAGCTGGGTGTGGGGGAGGGGGGGGATGGGGAGCGGCTCTGCCCTCCAGGGCGGGGCACACACAGTCAGGCCGGTGCACACGTTCAGGGGGCATGGGGTTCTGCTGAGGCTTCAGAGGGGTGACCTGGCACCCGGGGAGAGTGCCGCGCAGGTGCAGGAGCAGAGTCTGGGTGGTCTCAGGCTGGACGTGAGCAGGGCTGTCGGGCCCTGTGTGCGCAGGGAGAGCCTCTTAGGGGGCAGAGGGGGGACAGTTCCGACCCCCTCACTGCCTCCCTGGCCTGGCTGAGGCTCAGACCTGAGTCTGTCAGGTCCTGGGAGCCGGGGGCACATGCCCACGCCCACCCACCTGTAGTAGCTGGTCACTGGCCTGGGTCAGTCCGTCCGACGTGAGGTGGCGTGTCCATTCCACTGAGGGGACAGCCCCCTCCGCCGGTTAGTGAGGGTGGACGGGGACATTGCAGCACTGCTCGGTGTGAACCCCCAGAACAGCACGTCCTGGCACAGATGTGTCCTCCCCCTAGCCTTGCGGGCTGGCCAGAGTGCTGTCCCTGTTCCCACGCATAGCTGTGAGGGCAGAGGCGGGCAGGCGTGGGCTCAGTCCTGGTTCCCCCGGGTCCTGTGGGGCCCTCTCTTCCTACTCACAGGCAGCCTCGGCCCTGTTCCTTCCACCTCCCAGTGGGGGACACCTCTGTCCCCCAGGGTGTGGGTCTGGAGGGGAGACGTCGGGAGCCAGGTCTGGGGGTGAGGCTACACCGAGCTCCTGGTGGAAGGGAGGCCTGGGTTTCTGAGCAGAGTCCTTCTGGGTGTGGTCACAGCTCTGGTCTGGGCCTGGGGTGGGGGTGGGGGGTGGCGCAGGAGGAATGACCAGGGAGAGCTCCTGTGAGGGGCAAGGCCTCTCCCTGCTCTCAGGGTGGGGGTTTTGCAGTAACCACATTGTCCCTGTCCCCACCAAAGCCACCTGAGTCCTCATGGTCCATGTGACTGTGCCTTAGGCCTTGTAATGACTTTAATGTCCTATTGGTCACAGCCAAAAACTCGCCACCGCGGAGTGTCCTTGAGACTCTCGGGGTCCAGGGAGAGTGTCCGCCCTTCCCCACCTCAGAGCACCTCCTTGCGGCTTCCTCATCAGCTGAGGCACCCCCACCCCCAGCCCCACTCGGAGCCAGAGAGGGCGAGGCTGTCCCACGTGTGGAGGGAAGTGGGGCTCGGGGATGGGAGGCCTGGAGCGCTGCTGGCTCCCGAAGTGGCTCTGCCCTCGGGAGGTGAGGGGTGACCGTCAGGGACCGCCCGCCTCCGTCCTGCAGCTCTAAGCTGGCCTGGGCGCCAGGCTCGCTTCCTGGGGACCTATCAGAAGAAGAGGCAGAGGAGTGGCCGAGATGGGACTGAGGAGGGAAGGATCTGCTGGCTGCCCCTGAGGACAGCAGCTCCTTGGCCAGCCCCTGAGCTCCCTCCACTGTGGGGTGGGAGGGGAGGCGAGGGGAGGTCTGGGGACCATGAAATCCCAGCATGAGCCTCTGCTTTGAGGGTGAGGTTTCCAGAGAAGCGGGTTTGTCTGCGGGCTTTTGACTGTGCCTTTCTGACCTGACAGCATGCTGCGTGGCCACCATGGCCGAGAACAGCACCCGCAGGTGGCGGCTGGGCCCCATCCCCTCCCACAGGCCTCGCTGGCCCCACCGTGAATCCGAGCTTTCTAGTTTCTAGAGGCAGGGAGAGAACCCCGTCCTGGAAGCCACGTGCCAAATTTAGCCCCGACTGCCATCACCCTCTGGGCCTGTTTTCTTGGGGAGCAGTATGAGGCCCAGGCCTGGTGGAAGGGGTGGGGTATGCTCAGCTTGTGGGTGGTGTGGTTGAGGCGACCTGACCATCAGGGATAGGACTGCTAGCTGGAGATCACAGAGCCTGAAGCAGGGGTGTCCATGGGGCTGTGGGCTTGTCCCTCGGGGCCAGAGGAGGCCTGCGTGCCCCCCCCCCACACACACACACACAGGGAACTGACCCTGCCATCACTCGTCAAGGCCAGTGGCCTGGGGAGGGGTCTGGACGTGCTCTGGTCTGGGTGGGCCGGGCTTTGCTGTCTCCTCGGTCAGGGCAGAAAGCCACACTCACGTCCAGACTTCAGACAGCCTGGTCCTGGCTCCCACGGGCCCCTGCACACCTGGCAGGTGCCGAGCTGGCCTTTTCCTCTGCCTGAGGTGGGTTTGCTGGGTGTCATCTGCTGGGTGTCATCTGGTCCTGCTTGTGTGATAGAGCGTGTTGAGTTGGGGCCTCCTGCTGGGTCACATGCATTGGCCGTGTGGGGTCCTGGGTTGGTCAGGGATGGCCAGGCCCCTGCCGGCCTGCAGCTGGGGCTGGAGGCCAGGCTGGTGGGGCGCCCTCCCCGGGGCCTTGACTTCCCGGGGCTGAGGCAGCAACAACCTGGAATGTTTGCTCTTCTTCCCTGTTATCTGTGCGGCTACCGGAAGGGCTGGGAGGAGGCAGTGTCCTCCCCCTGGCCTAGCGGGTCCCCGGCCAGAGTGTTGTCCCTGTTCCCAAGTACCGACGGGGAGGGCAGAGGCGGGGCAGGGATGAGCTTCAGTCCTGGCCCCAGCTCCATGCCGTTTTCCTGGATGTCACCTGGGTGCTCCCCGTATGGGGATCTGGGGCATGGGCCGTGAGGAAGAGCCACCTCTCCTGCCTCCCCTCCCTCATTCCTCAGATGCTACTTTGTCACCTGAATGGAAAATGGGTCAGGTCCTGGCAAGGGAGGGGCCTCCCGAGCCGCAGACTGGGCGACGCTGGGCGCCTGCCTGGAGCGCAGGGCTCAGATTCCCTCCGATTCCCGCTTGTGCTCCTTGGGCCCAGAGGGGCCGGTCCCCTCCCTGCCGTGCTTCACTGGAGCAGCTGGTGGCCAAGCGGGGGACAGTGTGGGCCGAGCTCAGGGCTGGTGCTGCAGGCCCAGCAGGTGTGTGACCAGTGCCTGTCTTTGCAATAGTCCCTGCCCCACCCAGTGGTCTCTGAGCCGAGGGCCGAGGAAGCGGCCCACCAGCCACCGTGGAGCCGTGACAGCCCAGGAGCTCCTTGGGGGGAAGGGCGGAAGGAGGAGGAACAAAGGCAATCGTGCTGGCGCCGCCTTCCTGCCCGCCCACCATGTGTCAGTCAGAGGCGAGGCGAGGACCAGAGCTCAGCGCGGCGAAATGGTGAGATGCTGCCAGCGGCCTCCTAACCCTGCTGTTCCCCGCCACGACCTCCACAAGGTCAGAGTTCATGTCCAGCGGCCCCGAAGTGGAGGTGGCGGCAGGGGCCCTGGGGCTCCCCCGCGGTTGGAGGGGCCCGGCCTTGGGGGCCTCAGTCGGAGCGCCCGCTTCAGGTACTGGGGAGGCGGAGCGGGCTGGTGGCCCAGGGTCTGCGCTGCACCTAAACTGCTGCACCCCCACCCCAGGCGCCCCCACCCCGATTGGGTGCAGCTCTTCCAGGATTGGTCCCTGTGCTTCTGCAGTGAGCAGGGCGGGTGGGGGCAGTGGGACGGGGAGCGGGGATTTGTCTGGCTTTTCTTGGGCCCCACCACCAACCAGACCTGTTTAAAAAACTGGGGGGCGGTGAGAGAATGAACGGGGAGTCCGCAGAGCAATGGATGCCGCAGTACCGTCCCTGAGCTGGGCCTGGCCATCAGCTCGGTTCTCTGTGTTTCCTGCTTTCGGTATCAGCTGAGCTGCCTCTTTGTTCCTTGGTTTGGTCAGCAAGTGGGGGTGGGGGGTGGCAAAGGACACCACTTCTCTGGGAGTGCCCGGCGCAGATGGGGGACTTAGTTTCCAGTTGAATGCAGTCCGTTTGCAGATGCTCAAAGGGTGGCAGTGTGGCCTCCTGATGGCTGCTCTAGGGCCTCGGCAGCATTTTCTGGGCCTTTGGCACTGAGAGGACACGGGCCTCACTGACGTGGCTCAGGAGGCCCGGGTTCTGGGGAGAGGCTGCGCCTGAGCTGAGCGCGCTGGGCTGGGGAGGCTTGGGCCAGGGGTGTGGCAGGTTCCCCCCAGCAATTTGTGGGTGGGTTTTGGAGAAGCTGACCTGGTGTCGAGTGGCCATGCTGATGGATGGAGCAGTCACTGCGAGGGGGTTGTTTTCCTCTGTGATCTCATCAGTCCCAGCCCCTTAACTCTGATGAGGAACTAAGAGGCCTGGAGCCATCTGTTGGTTCCCCAGGTCCTCGCGGGCAGTAGCAGTAGCTCCCCCACGGTGCGCGGCTATGCTGAGGGGTGCTGGGAGGTCAGACTGCCTGCTGGTGCCCCAGGAGGGTGGGGGCGAGGTGGTGCTTAGCCCTGAAGGGCCTCCCAGGGCCTGTCCCATGTTCAGAAGCTGCTTCCTCAGGTGAGGAGCTGGACCTCATGCTGTGTCTCAGCTGCCAGCAGACACCTGTCCGCCACAGCCGGGGCAGGTGTGAGGGGCTGGGACTTGAGCTGCCAACCAGAGGCGGCCAAGCCACCGGGTCAGAATGGGGTTAGGATGCGGGGCAGGGCGGGTGCTGCTCTGAGGCGAGCTTGCTGAGGGTGGGTGGGGCTCCCAGTGCCTCCCAGACCCCGGCTGCTGACCCGTCACGCGTGGACATTGCCCGCAGGTTGCACTTCCCCCAGCTGGCCCTGCGACGGAGGCTGGGACAGCTGAGCTGCATGTCCAGACCTGCGCTGAAACTGCGCTCCTGGCCCCTGACGGTCCTCTACTACCTCCTGCCCTTCGGTGCCCTCAGACCGCTCAGCCGGGTGGGATGGAGGCCCGTGAGCAGGGTAAGTGTGTGCAGGCTGCTGGCCGGGCCCACCGGGGCAGCCTGAGGTAGGGACCAGACCTAGGAGACAGTGGTCATTGAGGGCCTGGCTGTGGGGCTGAGCCTGCCAGGCGGGGTGCTGAAAGGCGAGGTGAGGGCCTCCTGGCCGGTGGCTGTGGTCCTGCCGACAGGTGACTGAGGGCCGGCTCTGCCTGCATTTGTGCCATTCGGGGGCTCTGCTTCTGGAAGGAACCATACTGGGCATTCAGAAAATGGTGTCGGGTTGATTTCCTTGTTCAAGGAGGAGTGAGCTTAGAGGTAATTTTGAGACGAATCTAATTCCTGGATGCCAGAGGGCGGTCCAGGAAGGCTGGAGCCTGTGTGGGCCCCTTGGGGAGGGGATGCCTTTGAGGACATGCAAGCCCGGGCAGTTCCCTGGAGAGCAGGTGGGCCCCAAGGAGGAGACCCTGCTCCTGGCCCTTGGACGGCCCAGGTGGGGTGTCTCGAGGCTTGAAAGCTATGGAGCTCTGGACATTCAACCTGAGGTCACATGGCAGCTATGGCCACGCCAGTGTACAAGCGTCAGCTGGGAGGAGTTCTGGGAATCAGGCAGGCAACACCTAGAGGCGGTTAAGTTGGAATGAAATTGCTTTTACCTTGGGGGCTTGGTTGTGTTCAGACATCAGCCACCAACTAGCAATCCTATGTCGGCGGCACCTAGAAGGGTCACCTGGCCCTGAGAGGCTTGTTCCCTTGTCCCACCTGGGAGGAGCCCCAAATGCAAACAGCCATGTGGCCTGGCCCATCACAGGAGATGCCTCTGCCTGCTGGGCGGGCGACACAGTACATCTGCATGTCACAGTCCCTGACCTTGGACGGGGGAGTGGGTCCTGTTAGGACAGGGAATCACTTTGGGCTGCACTTTCCTGTCCTCCAGGGCCTCCTGCCACAGCCTGTCTGTGACGGTATCAGATCCATTTATGCTCCCTCCCCCTTCAAGAAGCAAGACTGTGCTGCCCAGTCTCGCCCCAGGGACTAGGATGGCTGCGGGCGGGTCTGTGTGAAATGACAAACACCGGAGTTGTAGTCCCCTGTCGGTCTGGGCCAGGACTCTGTGAAACCATTTTGTAAGCTCAGTCTGGTTCCTAGTGAGAAACCACATCACAAAGCCAATGTGGGGTGCCCAAGGCCTCTGGAGGGGGCTCCCTTGGTGGGGGCAGTGGGCTAGCAGGGTGGCCGACTCACCCACCCGCCTGTGGCCTGCAGGTGGCGTTGTACAAGTCGGTGCCCACACGCTTGCTGTCGCGGGCCTGGGGTCGCCTTAACCAGGTGGAGCTGCCGCACTGGCTGCGCAGGCCTGTCTACAGCCTGTACATCTGGACCTTCGGGGTGAACATGAAGGAGGCCGCCGTGGAGGACCTGCACCACTACCGCAACCTCAGCGAGTTCTTCCGGCGCAAGCTGAAGCCGCAGGCCCGGCCCGTGTGTGGCCTGCACTGCGTGGTGAGGCCTGGTCCTGCCTTCCACTCCCCCCTCCAGAAACAGGATATAGCCTGTGCCTTTGGGAACCAGTCCCAACAGCCCCCACGGGTGGGCATTCCTGCCCTGCATCCTCTCTCCCCCCTCCCGTCCCTGGCAGTAAGACCCGCCTGCCCTTCCAGATCAGCCCGTCGGATGGGAAGATCCTCAACTTTGGGCAGGTGAAGAACTCGGAGGTGGAGCAGGTGAAGGGGGTCACCTACTCCCTGGAGTCGTTCCTGGGCCCGCGTACCTCTGTGGAGGACCTGCCCTTCCCACCAGGTGGGTCCTGGCCTGGCCGCCCTGCTGCAGTGTGGCTGGCCCGAGGTCAGAGGGTGAAGGCTGGGAACAGGTTGGGAAGGGGACACTGGGAAGGCTGTAGGCACTGAGGGCTGGCCCCTGGGCCAGGGATCACTCTGCCCAGTGCTTCAGGGCCTCCCTGGAGCCCATGTCCAGATGACACACAGGCCCCAGCTGGGGACATCGGGTGCCCATCTGATAGCCTGGCCCTGTGTCCGCCCCCGACAGCTGCCTCCTGCAACTCCTTCCGGAGCCAGCTGGTCACCCGGGAAGGGAATGAGCTCTACCACTGCGTCATCTACCTGGCCCCCGGGGACTACCACTGCTTCCACTCGCCCACCGACTGGACCGTGTCCCACCGGCGCCACTTCCCAGGTAGGCCAGGCCGGCACGGGGCTGAGGGCTGCCTCTGTGAGCCCCACATGCCCTCAGCTTCTAGGTCTCAGGGACCCAGCCCCCTCAGTGTTTGCAGTGATGTGAGTGTGACCCTGGGTGGCTGGGCCTCCCGCCGGGCAGAGAGTAGCAGTGTCCCTGCTGTCACAGGCTCCCTGATGTCCGTGAACCCCGGCATGGCCCGCTGGATCAAAGAGCTCTTCTGCCACAATGAGCGGGTGGTCCTGACCGGGGACTGGAAACACGGCTTCTTCTCGCTGACAGCTGTGGGGGCCACCAACGTGGGCTCCATCCGCATCTACTTTGACCAGGTAAGCAGAACCCAGGCCACTTGGGGTCCCCTGCGCAGCCAGATCTGTCAGAACCAGAAGTTTGACCCTTGCCCCCTAGGGTGCTGATCTTGCACCTTTGTTTGTGCTAGAGAACAGTTGGGTCTGATCCCTCAGAGGCCTGCCTCGTTCAGAGCGGGTGTCGGGCACTGTGTCTGGTTAGGCACCGGCCCCTGGGCTGAGCTGCTATGCCCACTGCCCTTTGCAAGCAGTTGGGGGCAGGCCGCGTCGAAGGTCCAGGGAGCCAGTCTCCACCTGCTCTGCCTCTGCCTCCCCAGGACCTGCACACAAACAGCCCGCGGTACAGCAAGGGCTCCTACAACGACTTCAGCTTCGTGACCCAGGCCAACAGGGAGGGCATCCCCATGCGCAAGGGTGAGCACCTGGGCGAGTTCAACCTGGGCTCCACCATCGTGCTCATCTTCGAGGCCCCCAAGGACTTCGACTTCAAGCTGAAAGCAGGACAGAAAATCCGATTTGGGGAGGCCCTGGGCTCCCTCTAGGCCTCTCCTGGCTGCTGCTGCTGAGGGATCTAAACAGAAATGGGAGTTTTTGAGAGGAACCTCCTCGGCTGTCTGGAGGGAACTCTCAGGACCAGGGGGTCTGACCAGGCAGGACCTGGGTCACTTCTGCTCCTGCTGTCCCAGAGGTGCGGGCGAGGCCAGAGCCCGGTCCTGCCCAAGACCTACGTCATCCCCTCTGCTCACCCTAAAGAGAAAGTAAGTGTCGGGCTGATCTCAGATTCCCTTTTGGAGAAGTTTTAACCCCTATTGCATAAACCAGAGACCTGCATCTCCTGGCTGAGCGTTGTTGGTCTTGGTTTGTTAAGATGGTAAGTGGTACTGTACCTTTTGCTGCTCCTCCCATCACTACTGTTGGCCTCCCCTCCTGGCACTGACTGGGCCCACCTGCCCCGAGCAGGACCGCTAGCCTGTAACGTAACTGCTTTCTGTTTCCAAACCCGGCCCACCTGCTCGCTGGGAAAGCCTTCCTCTTCACACTGGTGGCGACTATGTCCCCCGACTCAGCCAGGTCTCCCGAGGATGGTGACTAGACGAGGCGCTTTGCAGACCCGAGTGACCCGGAGCTGTCAAGGCCGGTTACTGAACCCCCTGACTGGTGTCCCGTGTGAATGGGGCAGGCAGGTAGTCGTGGCCACACGGGGAG